TTAAAATATAAAAATAATATAAAAATATATTTATGATACAAGTAAAATAATATTAAAAAATATTCTTGTATCCAAACACACTCGTGTATTTTTTTTTTTGTTAAAAAAAAAAGCACTACCGTGCACAATCAGCACTGTAGCGATTGACCCTTTTTGAAAAAAATTTTCAGCCACTGCTACCCTGCAGCGATTAAAAAAAATTATTTTCTGCCGTACCCAATCAGCACGGCTGGTATAGTTTTATACATATCCCTTGTCAGACATACATTTCAACGACTTTTTTTTTGGTATATTCTAAGAAATTAGCCTGTAAATTAGTTTACCATTTTGCCTTGTGCAATCCTGCGTCACAAAATTTGTGCAAAAAATAATCCCATGACGATGACACCTACAATTACTTACAGTGACATCAAACAAACTTGCAAGCTTGGTACCTAGTTCTTTTTCACTACAGGTGAGATTCGAACCCCGATTTAGTTCCTCTTTGGTGAAAGCTCAATGGTTTGGTACCTAGTTCTTGACCAAACAAAATTTTCAAGCAATACTCTCGGTCAGTGCCAAGAAAGAAATTCATACGCACTCCAAGAAAGAGATCATACCTGCTTAATAAAGTTTCACAGTTTTAATCGTAGTACGACCAATAATTAATTAACCGGAAGGTATAGCTCCTGCCAGACAACGATACAAGTATGACCTATCAATTTCAACTTTACTGCATCACCATTTGCTATTTAACAGGGTAAGTCAAGGCATCAGCTATATCTGCTATTTACATTGTTTAGCAAAGCTTTGCTAGTGATGTTGAATTCATGTAGATTAGTTTACCAAGAAGCGCCTACTTTAAGTCATTTTTAAAGTCATGTAGATTAGGCTAATTTCTCAGAATATACGTGAAAAAAAAAATAATCCGCCAAATGAAGCTCTGACAAGGGGTGTTTCTCAAACTATAATCAGCACGGCAGCAAAATAAATTTTCTAAATCGTTGAGTCACAAATTTTTTTTTTTGAAAAAGGTCAGCCGCTGCCGGGCTGGCTGTGCACGGCAGCGGCTGCCTAAATTTTTTTTAAAAAAATCGACTGTCCCCGACCGTGCACAGTCAACACGACAGGGGACAGGCGGTCATGTGCCAGGTGCTTGACGGAAATGGTTATATCCGTCCTTTTGCTTTTGCTTCTTGATTTTTTTGTCTACCATGGATTGTTTCTCAGACTAAGAGTTTGACGTTCTCGGTAGTATGATTTTGGCAAGTAAGTGATCAAACAGAGGGATTTTTGTTCCTCCTCTTAGAAGAATGGTTCAATTTTCATCTTCCCCATCGCCTTCCAGCTTCTTCCTTTCCAAATTTTGTATTCTCAAGATTGGAAGCTAACCAAAAAAAAAAAAAGGAAAAGAAGGAAAGGAAGAATTGAGCGATCAAACCTTTTCCTATGGTTTGAATATGTTCAGGTTTAGAAGAATGGTGATTAGTAAACTAGTAGCTATTTCCATAGATTTTCTTGATGGCACTTCTCTGATGATGTATATTAAGAGAAGGTTTAACCTTGTCCCACTTTAATCTCCATAGTGAACATCAAATAAGTGTACATCACCTGATGTGTGCTGTTTGGAATCCAAAAGTTTTAACTGTGTGCATTTGAATTTGTTAGACTATCATTCTGCATCATGTCAATATACGAAGTGCAGTATGTATTTTTGGGCATAAAGTTGCAATTTTGCCTTGCGCCTTTGGTAATCTTGAGATTTTATGAGTCAAAAATTAGCTTTCCATGATTTTTCATATTTGAAGTAACAGTTCATAACAGGCTAAAACAGTCACCGATATAGAAATTATTTAGATAATTAAAAGTGGTCATATCTGTGATCTGGTACTTAAGTCTGATCTTGCCGGTGGATTTGCCATTGATGTTGCAGACTTGTAGTTGCTCAATAGTGACTACTTAATTTTATCATTCTATGATTCAGGATTACCTACAAAGTTGCTTAAAATTTTATATCCGTCAGCATAATTTTGTCTATGCTCAGTCTGTGTACTACAAACTTGTCTAATAACTGTCCAACTTTGTGGTTTCTACTCTGCCCTTGATTTGGGAACATAAAACCTCAAGACCATGAATTAAAAGGCAATTTTCTTCTCTTGTTTCTGGCTGGTGGTATGAGTCTATTTAATGGTAAGTGAAATTCGACCCTTAAAGCACAAAACACAGCTCATGAACTTCGAAAAACAGGAAGAAAATGGACAATCATTTTTCAAAAAATAAAGAAATTGTAATCTGCAACTTGGAAAGGAAAAAACTGGAAAAATACATTCTGAAACCAATCAAAATCCAAATTTGCATCAAAATAATAATTTAAACTTGTGGAATATCTCCAGGGAATTAAAATCAAGAAAATTAAACAGGAATACATGTGTGATTTATTGTTAAATTACCCTATAAACTGAGGGTGGGTTATTATGCTGAGTACTGATTAGGGCTGCAAACGAGCCTAGTCGAGTTTTAGCCTAATCGAGCCAAGCCTTGACTTAGTTTCATTGAACTCGAACTCGACTTCGACCTCGACGAGCAGACAATTTCAAGCTCGAGCTCGAGCTCGAAAAAAATGAAAAATAATTATTTTATATTTTAAAAATAAATTCAATAATATTTTTTCTTAATAAATAATAAAATATTAAGGATATATATGTAATTGTACTATTAAAATTAAAAAATATAAAAAATATATATACTTAAAATAAAAAAATAAAAAATATATATATATACTTGAGCTCGCGAGCCGACTCGTGAGCTAACGAGCTTAATATTTTGAGCTCGAGTTCGAGCTCGATTTCGACTCGAGCCAGCTCGAACTCGACTCGAGCTCGATATTGATTGAGCTCGAATCGAGATTGACTTGAGCGGTTCGATTCGTTTACAACCCTAGTACTGATCCTCATTTCTAATACTGTGCCAACGAGCACTCAGCTGGCATTAGTCTATTGAAACGCTTGGTATCTTTGCAGTAGTCATAGGTCATATATTTTTGTCTGATCCAATTCATCTGTCCTAGTTTGGCAAAGCTGAGTTGACTGCATGCTGGAGAGGTCCACCAGTTGCCAGGGGAAAGTAGGGCACATTGGCTGATGCTAAGTGGCCCATTCCATGTGCAAGCCCTTGGTCTAAAATTGCGGATTCTAGCCCTTGGTAGCGCTGACACAGTGTCAGCACGGTAGCGACCGACCCTTTTTAAAAAAAATTTGCAGCCGCTACTACCCTACAACGATTAAAAAAAATTATTTTCTATCGTACCCAGTCAGCACGGCAGATATAATTTTGTACATAGCCCTTGTCAGACATACATTTCACCGACTTTTTTTTTTTTGGGTATATTCTGAGAAATTAGCCTGTAGATTAGTTTACCATTTTGCCTTTTGCAATCCTGCGTCACAAATTTTGTGCGAAAAATAATCCCATGACGATGACACCTACCATTACTTACGAGTGATATCAAACAAATTTGCAAGCTTGGTACCTAGTTCTTTTTTTTTTTTCTTTTTTTTAATGACAGGAAGAGGAGCCTAAAGAAACTGTGTATAAGAGGCTAGTAGAAATAAGAATCTAATTAGATCAAAAGGGTGTTCTGACACCTTTTTTGGATTTTTTCACTATCGGTGCGATCTAGTCCCTCTTTGGTGAAAGCTCAGTGGTTTGGTACCTAGTTCTTGACCAAACAAAATTTTCAAGCAATACTCTCAGTCAGTGCCAAGAAAGAAATTCATACGCACTCCACGAAATCAGACCTGTAACTCTAATCAAGAGGCAGCTCATTGCCATTCCATTCATCTTCAAGTTGGTTATTCAAGTGCAACACTTCATCATTTTTTCCATGTGTCGGGCATCTTCCTCCAATAGCATTTGTGACTTCAAACGTGCTTCAAGCCTCTTTCCACTCTTTAATATTCTCTCATTTAGTTCCAAATTAAGGCTTGATTATTCAACCCTACAAATACGTAAAGAATTTGCAAATAAAATGGCACAATCACAAATACTTCCTATTATCAACTCAATGCATAATTCAAGGCAAAATAAGCACTTTAAACCATAGCATTTCACAAGTTGACTCAAAAGCAACATGAAACATCTCAAAAATAATCACAAAATATACCCTTATCAACATAAATCCTCTTCAAAAGAAGGGCAATTGGGACTGGCCAACTATTGCCAGATACAGGTGACAAAAGGGTAGAAACATAAAATATGTTGTCCCTGGGCAGACGTGACATGTGCCCCCTTGACTGATATTTCTTCTATGAAGAGTTTCTTTAGAAGCAAGTCTACTTTGAGAAGCAAGCCACAGATTATTCCTAACTCTTTCATTTGCTTGCAGCTTCCACATCTAAGAGGGATTAACACATGGATGATTGTCAAACATAATATGGGGTAATTGCATCATTTTTTTTTTGTCGACATGATAATTCTTATTTTACACCTACTCCTACTCCTACTCTATACTAAAGGGAAGAGGTGGATCGAATGAGTCAATGTGAAATGTAGAGAGGATTGAATTGCCACCGGATCAAAGGAGTGGCTATGCACCTGTTGGTGAAATTTGCAGGAAAACCTAAATAATAATACAAGTCGTGAGATTTGATCCCTTGATCTACGCCACCCAATAAGAGTTTTGAGTGTCTCCCTGATAGCTAACTCATTCGACCTACGTCCAAGGGGTAATTGCATCATGGAGAAGTAAGATTTGAAATAAAAGGTTCCATCATGATGGCCCTTCCACCTATAGAAATCTTGAGAATTAGATTGAAGTTGTTCGGGAATTACTTGAATCTTTTGAACAATCGGGGAAGCAAGAAAAAAGATAACCTCTCTAAATTCCAAGAACCCGTCTCGCCAAAAGGATGATTGACCAGTAAATCTTCTTCTCTAGATCTAAGTGGCCCTTGTCTTTTGTGTCTCAGGGGTCTACTAGACTAGTCAAGTTATCTAGACAAATTCTCCTCCACATTAACATTCCTTGTAAATTGTAATCCAGCCGGTATCTTTGTTAAGCGAATCCACCCCAATTTTAGGCTTTTTTTTTTTATTAATAGACCCAACCATCTCCTTTCTCTGGATAGAACCAGCTTTATTGAAGTTTTTGATTTTCAGAATTTTTACTCAAAGTTGAGATTGGTTCATTTGACTCTCAAGCGTGAACCAGCTATGGCTGCTTTATTCATGTTGTCAGTATATCTTATACCGAACCTTCCTTGGTCTTTAGCACTAGTCACAGTCTCCCACCCTTCTACATGGAATTTCCTCTTCTGATCAGTGGAATCCCACAAAAAATTTCTTTGGAATTTATTTGTGTCATTACCTTTATCAGTTTATTAACCTATACCAAAAGGAGAAAAATCTTTTTCTCGCAGTTATCTTGTGATGGATATGTACAATTTGTCACTGGTAACTGCAGTGTACAGGAGTTAAAACAACAAGTATAGATACTAACATATTTTTCGGCACCACTTTCAACAAGTTAGTAATCTAATATTTATATTAGTTATAATAATGTTTGCAAATATAATTGCCATTGAAAATTGTAGAGGTCCTTGATCCGGTGCAAGAGAACCTGGTTTTGTCCTTAGAAAATAGAGAAGATTTCCATGTCTTTGTCCAGATCCAATCCAACCAAAGTAATAGCATAGTCTATACGGTAAATGTACATATTCTATTATTCTTTACTCCCCATCTAGTCTGCCTATTGACATAACATTTGAAGATCCCCAACTGAGGAGGAGGAAGAAGAAGCCCTCTTAAAAGTTCACAAACTGCAGGCTCCCGGGTACTTTAATATTCTCCCAACCAGTTTAAATTTCTTCTTGATTCATTGATTGCTCAGACATTTATTAATTGTGACGATAAGTATAGGGGGTAAAAAAGCTGACATTTTTTGAAATGGTAAAGTTTTGTATGCAACTGTTCTTTGACCTTCAAGTAAATCTTGATTTGCAATTTGGGATTCCATTAATCAGCAGTACGATGGATTGTCTTGGTTTGTTTCAAGTATATAAAAGTTTTGTCTTTGAAGATTTGATTGCTAATGTTTTCTTAGCTAATAGGAAGTATTGTTTCTGTAGTTAAGAATGCCAGCTCAAAGAAAACCTGAGGAAATTGTCCCAACACTACTGGCTTGTCTGGGAAAAGCTTGGGATGCATTACAACCCATCCATAAGAAAGATGAGAAAATAGTTTCAGGATTCAAAGAAATTGAGACTGAACTTGACAAGATGAAAGATTGGGAAGGGGAACTCATAACACGGTTCAGAACTTTGGTGCAAGACATCGATAATGATGTTTGGTTTGATAGATTGAAGCATGGCAACGCTGATGATATTCTTAATGGATTGGAGCTCATCAGAAAGAGTGTTGCGTCTGTAAAACAGCTCTTTCCGGCAGAAGAAAGTCAGGTGACAGAAATAAAACCTTCTACTGGGAAGGATCAGACAATGTCTGAAGATCAGGCTATAGGGAAGGATCAGCCAATGTCTAAAGAGTGGTCGAGACTTGGTGTGGAGGAAAAAATTTATGCTAGCAAAGCAATATCAGATTTTCGGAAAAGTTTTGACTGTCTGGAGAACAATCAATTGAAAGTATGCTCCTTGTGCCTTTCAATTTTCCCAGAGAATAGTATCATAAAGAAGAGACCCCTTATTTACTGGTGGATAGGAGAGGGTATGGTCACTAAAACCTCAGAAAAGACTGCAGAGGAGGTTGGAGAAGATGTCTTTGGACAATTGATAAACGAAAGCTTCATAATTCCCCAAATTTGGGAATCCTTCTTCCAGGATAAACAGTTTTATCGTGCACCCTTGGATTCGAAGAATGCTGATCTCGGTTGGAAAAGGACTTCACTTTTTTGAATTTACTTCCTCAGGGATGCCTAGCAATGATCATCATGGCAATGATCTTTGTCATGCACTCTTACTTGCGGGTCCTGGTGATCCAGCCAGTGCAATGACTGACGGTACTCTTACGGTTTTCAATGTGAATTGTCAATATCTTAGATTTAAAAATGACTGGCTCTCGAGGTTGAATAGGGTTGAGGTTCTTCAGTTGGGCCGGTGGCAAAACTCTGTCGAACATCATATTGAAGTGGAAAATGAAGTCTCTTTGAATGGTTTGGGAAGTCGGACATCCCTAAGATATCTAAGCCTCAGAGGCATTTCTAAATTGACTAACCTACCTCGTTCTGTGCTTAAACTAATAAGCCTTGAGATTCTTGATTTACGTGCATGTCACAATCTAGAGAAACTGCCTTCTGATATATCAGCACTCAGAAATCTTACTCACTTGGACGTGTCAGAGTGTTACCTGCTCGAAAGCATGCCAGACGGTATCCATAAGCTCTCTGCTCTCCAAGTACTAAAGGGTTTTGTGATAGGAAGTGTTGGAAGAAATCCGTGCAAGCTAAGTCAACTTGCTCAGTTAAAAGGTTTAAGGAAATTGAGTATACGAATTGGGAATGAAGCTGTACGAGAAGGGGAGTTTTCAAAGTTGAAGGACTTTAAAGCCCTTGAAATTCTGGTAATATCATGTGGAGCACATACAGAAGCTGCTTAAGAGACCTTCTCAGCCCCACTGACTCTTAAGAAATTGGACCTCCGGTGCATCCCTTTGGAACAAATGCCTGATTGGCTAGAGCCTGATGTATTACAAGATTTGAAAAAATTATACATTAGGGGAGGTAAACTCAAAAGCTTAGAGAATAAAGGTAAACAAACCTGGAAAGTTAAAATTGTCCTTTTGAAGTATCTGAAGCAATTGAAAGTTGACGAGTCAGAATTAAAACGCAAGTTTCCTGAAGTGGTGTACTTGGAGAAAATCAAATGCAACAAGACTGATCAAGGTACATATGATCCAGATATCAAATGGGACGAAACGTCACATGAGAAAGCAATTGTAGCAAATACTTGAGTGAGTTTTGCTGCTACTGTTTTGTTTACTATTCATTGTTAATTGCTCCTGATTTCTCCTATATTCCCTCATCTTCCCTTTTTAAAGCGAGTTATATTACTCAAATTCTAAGAATCAATTGCTTATGTTGTTTCGGACCATGATTGAGTGTTCTAGTGTCAGTTGGTAATACGTGTATCTCTTTTTATTTTCCCTACAATCCTTGTAAGATTTTTTGTTGTTAATATTTTGAGCATATTATTTCCAGAAGTAACTGAAATTTTCTTGTTAGTGCTGAAATCTCGTGTTTTTAGTCTCAATTAAAATTTCTCGTCCTAACTCCACCTGTCAGAGCAAGGTCCTTGTTTCAATCTTTAAGTAGACTACCCTCAAAACTGATGAATAGTGGAAAGACATAATCTGAGGAAAAACTATATGAAATTACTGTTACTCTTATTTTGGCAAGACAAAGTTAATCTAACCTGCATGGTCCCAGGAGTAGGAGAAAGAGAAAGTGCTGCTTGGATAACTCCTCCTGCTTTAAATTTGTAAGGTGAAAAGAGGATATTTGTGAGGTTTCAGCATGCCTCTTTGATCCAAGCAATTTTGAGTGCAGGTTGAAAGTAAAAACAGGATGAAGTAGAGTGAAACAAAGAACTAATGAATCATTTGATGCTCCAGGCTTTGCCGGCGAACACTTCCAAAGGCGACCCTCTCGAGTTTCCTTCTTTAGCTGCCTCGATTGCAATTGAAATATTTTTTCCTCTGTTGTGGGAAAATTGGATTATTGTCTTATGTATTTAAGGATTGTTTTTCTTGTCCATGAGATCAACATAATGCTGCCTGCTGTCCAGGTCTTTACATTTTATAGATGCAATATCATGAGATAAGCTCTCCAATGGTGCCTTCCAGCTTGTGATGTGCATTTCCATTCTTTTCTTACACTCGCCCCAAACTACACTAGTATCATTTACAACATATTCTACACCTTTTCCAGTTTCCATTCCTCTCGTGATAGCCAACCGATTGACATTCTGTCCTCTTGATTGGAGTAATTAGGAAACTGAACTAAAAGTCTTAATTGAAGAAACAGCAATTGGATCTTTGTTTGGTTGCATAAAGGGGTCAATGGCCAAATTCCCAATGAAGCGAGTCAGTCATCTTCAACAATTATCTTGAATCAGCCCCCAGAAACCTGAGCTATATTCTTCAGAGTGCTGCCACGCCTGTGAATTTCTTTGGCTACTTAGATCAAAGAGATTTTGGCAGTAATTATTTGCTCGAGTGTCTATAACAAATGCAGTTTTGTCTTCACTACATTACAATGCTGTTTATTTTATTTTTACTGGGTGCCACAACTTTGTGAAAATTAAAATGGAAATTACTAGAGGACCAATAATCTTATAGAACCATATGCAGGCATCTTTTTCAATTCTATGCATTAAATCAGTTGGAGTACTTGGTAAGTAAACTCTGGTAAGAGAATTGTGAATTTGCAACTGGTTATAAAACTATTGAGCATCTCCTGTCACAAGATGCAGGATTGGATTTGGTTTGTTGATAGACATGACATACATAATAGGCCAGCCATCTGACATGTCAAAATCCAGGTTCAGCCAGAAAGAAAATTTCTTGTACAGTTGTAGAAGTCTACCTGCAATGACATCTGACAAGAAGGGAGGGAGAAAAACTAGAGACAAAAAACAATGAGTGAGCAACAGTTACACCTTGCAAGCGTTTCACCTTCAACAGAAGTCATCATTCATCAAGTGTTTCACCTTTCTTATTAAATATCTTATGCACAACTTATTTGAGTAATTATAGTAGTATAAGCAAGCAAACATTTAAACCTTGCAATGTAAATTAGCAATATCATGGATTTACTTCCTCTCAAGATTCCATAGTGTCCAAGTGCTGTATTTGGGATGATGACAGACCTCTGTCCAGCATCACGTTGAAGTAGAAAATGAAGATTTGATAGTTGATTAAGAAGAAAAGGAAAGTGCAATATAAAATGCATTAAATGATTTTGGGAAATCTGATGTGTCTAAATAAAGCCTCTGAGATGTTTTAGAATAACTACAAATCTTCAGTTCAATTGTTTGAATGGAATATTAATAATCAGTAATTTGATTACCATCCTAAGCATGCTGATATGAAATTGTCACATACTGTACGTTCGTACTATTTCCTTATTCTATGTGCTACCTCTGATAAAGCTTTTGAAGTTGTTAAGGGTACTTCAACAGAATATGGGGATTGTCTGATCTGTGTCCTAATTTGCAGTGTTTTCGGGAGAAGTATGCAGCTGTGTGATAGTCTTTAATTGTATGCCTCTTGGACAGTTGCTTGTGACTTATCTAGGACTTTCAATAACCTCTTCAGGCTGTTTTTTGCTGATTGGAAGGTTATGATAGACTGTCAAGACAATGATCATGTAGACAGACTTCAGCTCGTTAAATGTGTTCTAAATATTCGTTTGTATTGGACTATTGTGTTTGTACTTCTAAAGTAAGTATTTAAGAAATTAGATAGTTTATCAGCAACTTTTTTGGTCTGGTGAGGAAAGAAAGTACTTTGGAGCTAAACTTGGTCTGACATCTGTTAACCAGTGAGCAATGGAGCCTGGGACTGAATAAACTTGACCTTTGGATTAATAATTTCTCGCCCACGAGCAAGGGGGCTTGGGACTCACTAAACTTGACCTCTGGAAATGGAATACCTGTGCATAAAAGGATAGCTGATTCGATGGGGAATGTCGGTACACTAAATATACAAAACGAAAGCTACCTTTGATAGCTTCTTTAGCATCTGTTGATTCTTATCTAATGCTTTGGCTTTTTGCTGTCAATGATTCCCCATTTTGTGTGTGAGTGAGTGAACGTTTGCCTATGTTGCAGGTCTCAAACTGCTCCAGTCTCTCCATGCGCAAAGTGTTTGCATGGTGTAATTTGAGGCAATGTTCGACGCGATGCCCATTTAATGCGGTGATTGATCTTGTTGATGAGTTGCTCCTAGTGGTGACTCAGATCAAGGGGAAAAGCTTAATGTTTTATGGATCCATTTTCTGGGCTTTTCAACTTTCCTTCTGCATTAGAATTTCTTCACTGTTGCAGGCTCCTGGAAGTTAACCAAATCTAGAAGTGAATGCAATTGCAGCTGCCTAACCTGCCTTGTAGTTTGGAATAGGCTATTTACGAAAAAGTACGAGGCCTGATGTATCTGTGTATTTGCATTATTTACCTGAGACAATGTGGAATTTGATATTCATCAATCATCTTGGTCAGACTTGGATCACAAACTTTTGGTGACTTGGTCTGATAATCTGATATCTGGACAGCAAAGGCCCTTACGTGGTTAGCGTCTGGTATAAATAAAGTTGTTGATTGAATTTCCTTTCTTTGTCCTTTTGTTTCCTACTACTTGTATAGTATTTAATGCAAGAAAACTAAAGAGTTGGTCTATATAGAGTACTTTTTGTTCTTTAGAAGTTATTCACATAAGAGTTATGCTAATTATGTATTAAGAGTAGAGATTCTGATATGAGGAAACTAAGGGTCGATTTGTTAAGACACTCTTTCAAAGAGAAATTAAAGGGATAATGAAATAACTTATGATATGCGCAATTGGATATTTTCGATTGAGATCTATAATCCGTCCCCTTTGTACATGAAACAAAGGATGTTATCTTCCAGTTTATGAAGTCATGTCACAGCATTCTTCCCCTAGAGAAGTTCCTTGCTTGTAGATGCGGATAATAGTCTGCCTTGTTTAGAGAATGCCTGTGCCCCCAGGATGTTCATCTTTTCAGTACAAGGGAGGTTCCAACTCCGTCCTACTAGCTGGTGGACCTATTAGGTACTGAAACATGGTACTCTTGATGGGGCTCGGCCTACTTGAGATCGATTCGTTCAACTTGATAAGATCCGTTAAATCTAATCTTTAATTGGGTCGGATATAGTTTGGATTTGAATATTAAACCCAAATTAAATGTGACTTGAGTTCGAATCTTGCAAGCCTCAGGCCCGATTAAGGCTCTACTCGTTTGTGTCTATATATATGTACGTATGTATGCATGTGAGTATAAAATTTTTAAATATGTATTATGGTAATTCATAATTATTAAATATATATTATATATAATTATGTGTTTCATTATAAGTTTGGGTTTAGTCTAATTTGAGCCTGAAAGTCATACAAAAGTGTGAGCTAAGTTTGAGCATTTTGCTTTGAGCCCAAAATTCGAAAGCATAAAATCTGAAAATCCTATTCAATTTATGAGCGGAGTTTGAACTAATAAAAATTCAACTTGTTAAAGCTCGGCTTAGAAAACCGGATTGACGCCGCTATTGAAACCCCTACTGAATTATATTGCATCTGTTAATTGATGAAACACCTTTTGCATGATATGAGACGATAAACTTTGTGAACCTTATGCTCAAGACAAACCATTTGCTTGTTTTTCACTGTTCGCTTTAGCCTATTCTGATCATTTTGGTGCAAGCGGAAACTTGAAGGCTGAATAAATGGGAAAGGGGATTCGAACACATGTTTGCTAGCTTGCCGCACTAGGCGAATGTTTTCTGCTATTTCATTTGATACTGGGTTAAATACATAGAACCCCTTAGAGTACGACGAATGCACACAAAACCTCCTTATATTTGGAAAAGGACTTTCTTGTGCTTTGGAAAAGGTGACATTGTTACTTTTCTGGGGGTTAATTGTATTTACCTTCCCTGGAATTTGTTTATATTACTAAAAGAACCCTATAGTTTGATCAAATAATGCTTACCCCCGGTTAATAACTATTGCCAAGCCCTGTTAATAGATATGTGAAAATGACTAAAAAATCGTAGCGTAAGAGAATTAAAAAAAATAATATTTGAAACACAGTAAATGAACATTTCTTTTAACAAAAGGTCAAAAAAAGGGAAAGATAGATCCCAATACAACAAAACAAATATAAAAAAAAATAGTGGAGTAGCAAGAATTAAGAAAAAAGAGCATAAATGAAATCAACTGTTTTGGGGGAAAAAGAAAGAGGGAAAAAAAATGAAGGGAATGGATTTAAAAAAAAAAAAGAAGAAGGAAAAAAGATGGGAAAGAGCAGAGCTATTTGCCATAATAATCCACAATCATCATTTCCCATCGTTCATCATCATCTCCATCACCCAACATCACAAACGTCACCCTGCGATCTTCTCATGGACTTGGAGAATGCTTTCGTCAGCATGGTTCATCCTGCCAAAGACATGGCAGGACACTAACTAAATTCAACCAAAAAAAAAAAGTTGTTTGCAAAATTGAAAACCATCTAAAGGAGAACAAAAAGAGGAGGAGAGGAAGATAAAGGCAAAAAGATTGAAAGCCCAACGCCTCCTATTTTTGTCAATGTTTATCTACTTAGACATTATTGGTTCTCCATTTCCACCTGTGCCATTGCCACCACCGCTAAATACCACCCTTACCACTTCTTTCTCCATTCATTTTTTTTTCTCTTTGTTAAAACACAAATGACAAAAAAGAAAAAAAAAAGTAGAAAAGGTGAAATTTAATCCAAATTTAATCTCTTTTTTTTTCTGAAATTTTCGTTTTTAGTCACCGTATAATAATCTTATTCCTCATTATATGGACTTAATATTGTTGATTGTTAAAGCTAGAAAAACTAGATGACATAGATAATAAGTGATATGTACTGATTAATTTCCAAATATTACTTTATCTTAGATTATAGAAGATTAAAATCATCTTACTGTTGAGTTGAAAATCAGATGCTAAATATTCGGACGAACACTAGTAGGATGGTTTCTTAAACAAAAGCTAATACAGGATAATTTTGAATGTTCCTGAAGGTCTACAAAAGATCAATAAGGTATATGAATTTACCATCTAAGATGGAATTCCATTCAATTGAGAAAAGGAAAAACAAAAAAGGGAAGTTGAAATTCAATTTCTCTGCATCTAACCTTAGAAAATTACAGTTTGCATTTACTAATTGGACTGACATTGAAAAAGAATTACACTTATTTGTTGTTTGCTATTTATCTGCTTTCTTTTTCACGATTAGACAGACTTGTACGAAATAAAATGACTAAAGCAAAATATGCAAAAGACTTGGACTATACAAAGGATGATTGAGTCTACCCATGTGTTTTTCTATCTTGTGGTGACTAGTCCTTCGTTGGATTCTTATCATTTGAGTCTATGCTCAGATGTCTTAACTTACTGGGCCATTTCAATAATTCATTCTAGCTGGATTGAAAGGGAACTTACAACCCTTCCCCATAGTCATCCATGGTAGGCGTGTTTTGTTAGACGCATTTTATTTAATTTTTTGTTTTTTAGGCTATTTTTTATTTTTGTGTTTTTGGTCTAACCTTGAAAAATTACAGCTTGAATTTACTTTTTGGGCTGGCATTGGAATAGATGTTACGCTCATTTGTTATTTGGTAACTTATTCTGCTCTCTTCTTATGGCAAAAACTTGGATAGACTTGATTTATTAGATCTAATGTGCAAATTTTGACACATCTTCATTGTGCATGTAATGCTTGAGTTGATAAGATGATATGACAAATTTTGAACCACTTAATTTACGGATTGACCTAAGTCGTTTCCTCTTTTCATAAGTAGACAGACTTGTATGGAAAATAAGGGATAATTTTAGAAACCTCCCTTGAGATTTTTCATAATATCACATAGCACTTTTAAGGTTTCTAAAATTTCATTTATCTCTATTGAATTCACTTTTTTTTTGTAACATTTTAACTCTTTTGGGAGAAAACCACAAAAGATAAAATTTTACTCCTAATATTATTCTTATATTAACCTATTCATGAAACTTACATCGATAATAAAAATTACAATAAGGCCAAAAAGCCAAGCTAAAAAAAAATAGAAATTGCCTATGTTGTTATCATAGAAAAAAATAGCATAGGCAATTTTTTGATATTTTATCATAAGATCATTTTTTGATTAATCTTTTTAATACTAGCTTACTAATATTTTTTTTATATAAGTAGGCACAAACCGCATGAAAAAAAGATTATTTTAGTTTTGAATACAACTTGAATTACATTATGTATTAAAACATATTTCCTGAAAACATTGCTTGACTTCTTTATATCCGTACCACAAAGTTTACGTAGGTGTAAATTATTTACCAAAATCCTTTTAAATGGTTGACATTACTAAATTTAACTTAATCGCCTCCTTTGCTACCCTGCCACGATTTGGATATATAGAAATATGGACTAATATTGGATGGTCATTTGGTTTTTTTTTTTGGATAAAAAATTCTGTTTTTGTTTGGAATTTTTTGTTAAATAATTATTAAGATTGTAAGGGTAATGTCATCAATTTGTGATTGTTGAAAAGGATATCTAGCCTTATCAAGCTGACAAAGGAAGTAAGTGAAATTTTAAAAACTTTAGAGGTGCTAAATAATATTAAGAAAAATCTCAGGTGAGATTTCCAAATTTATCCCAAAAACCAACTAAGGAGAGTACAAAAAGTGTAAAACACTTTGACTAAACAAAACGATGACTTAAGGTCTGTTTGATAACTCAATTCAATACTTAAACTTAATATATTCAAATGTCTTTAAACGATAAGAGTTGAGAAACCGGATTCCATCATTTGGGAGATGTCAGAGTTCACGTAAAAAAATTTGAATGGTTAAGGACTAAACATTTTTATCCTAAAAAAAAAGAACTCAAGTGTGGGGAACATTTTAGAAAAGAAAAAAGTTGTGCTAGTAGTGAAAAATGAAAATGTGCATATGAATGAATGTAAGAGTACGTGAATAGTTATATTAGCCTGCTGATTCAAGGGTTTTAATGTTGAAATTTGCTTAATTGTCAAACCATTTGCTGATGAATGCTGGTTGAGTATTTTATTTTCTTAAATTAGTTAGTCAAAAATTGAAAAAGTCATTGATTTTGAACTTTAACTGGAGAGATATTTCTTAGAATCTAGCCACTAATGCTTGACACGTGTTTTAATTGTATCTTAGCAATAGATGATTTTAGTGATAGTCATTGTTTGAACTTAATTGTTTGATTTGTTGTTCTCATACTTGAAAATAAGCGCGACTTAGATGTGGGAAAAATTGATAGGTTATATTTTTGTTATTAAATTTATGATTGTTTTCCCCTTAATTTTAGCCAAATATTATATTAATTGATAAATTCTACTTATATTTAGTTCATGGTGTTAATTGTAGGGAGGTGAAGCAAAAGTGGTTGAAAGGACGATTTTTCAGAAGATTATGAACCTGTTCTTCGGAAGACTCAAGATTTTCCCATGCGTGGAGCTTTACTAATCCAAATCGAACCATGAGCAAGACTTCAGCTAAAGATTAAGAAGATTCATATTTTTGTTAGCAGACTATTTAGTTAGG